GAGTGTCTATTCATCACTCAGAGCTGATTTTCCTGACCTCTTTTTAGTAAGACGATGTGCATAAAACCCAGGCTTTTTAAAGAAAGGGATTTCTAAATAACAAAGCTTCCTTTTTAATTCGTAGACCCTGTGTGCAGAATAGAAGGGAGGCCCCCCAGGCCGTAAAGAAGAGGGGAAAAGTCTCCTCCACTCCCCACTTTTGGGTTCAGTTATAGGGAAAAGAAAGGGGGAATGGAGTCTGGGAGGGAGGTCACAAGACACAATTGTCCTGATAGCCTCCTCCCAGGTTGGAGTACTAAGGCAGGAAGTATGTCAGCTATGCTGCTGGGAAAGCAGAAAACAGGAGGGTGCAGCTCTAAATCTTGCTTTGCTTCAGTGGGATTAACATCTGCCCTTTGCCCCTATGAACTCGGGAAATCACACACCCCTCCCTCAAACACCCTGATGCCTTCTTGGAGAGGAGCAGAGAGAAGAGTGGAACTCTTATCTGTTAAGCACTTAACTGAGTCATCTAAGTAGAGGCTGTTTTCCTACAAAGACATTTCGAAGTATACAATTAAACTGAGGTTAGTAAATTGGATTTGATCTTGTGCCCTCCCCCCACTTCTACCTAGAGGATGGGAGATTGTAAGGTAAATCAGAGCAGACTTAGAGATATAAGAATGCTACAATTTTAGCCCAACCTAATATGTGAGTAAATTTGAAAGGTTGCCACATATGTACGTGTCGCATGCTCCCCCATCCTCTTTTTGCCATGCACAATCAACAAATGCAATGTTCCCTTATGATTTCACAAAGAGCATGTCCTATTTTCTTGTGATTTCCGTTCTCCACCTAACACATCTGTGCACTTTCTACAATGCTTGTATCTAACAAGACCAAGTTGGCTACAGACTCCAGTAACAGGTGCCAGAAATATAACCACTGGGATTACAGATTTCTTGAGGTCTTCTTAGAGTTCTCTCAATATTTGCTTACTATATTTTGAGGCCGTGTTGTCGGGTGCCATTTGCCAAATATAACCTGTTTTACCTACTTCCTGGTCCCCTCCAGATTGGATATGCCACGTGACTAATTGTGGAGCGTTTTGCTGCTGATGTGTGACTTTCCAGAGCTCCTTTCCCCCCGCTGGTGTGGCCGCTGGCAAAGTTTGAGGAGGTGGCTGATCTATCAGCCTGGGTATCTGAGTCTATGGTGAGCAGAGCTCCGAGATGACCTGTGATGGACATGTAGCATGAGTGGGAAATACAGCGCGTTGTTTCGGCTTTTTGTTACCACAACAGAACTCAGCCTGTCCTGAGACAGGTGTTTTAATGAAGGGAAGTGACTTACCAAAGATATTTATTTTCTCTAAAGGGAACGCTGCATGGTGCTTTCTTCTAATGGTTCATCTCTTTGTATGTGGATGTTTCTTTCATAGTGAAAGAAGTAAAGACAATTACGTGTTAACCTAAAAATAAAAAAGTCAAGGTGAGAGGCAACAAGTGTTTATCTGAGATCCAAAAGAACAGCTATTCTGAAAGCACCGATTCAGGCAGAAACCCAAATGGTGTTCTGATTAGGAGGTGAAGGCAAAAGATATTTATGAGATATAAAAGGGGGAAATTACATGAATAGAAGGAAGGAATTCCTATGGGTGTTAATAAGTTACGGAAGGAATTTCTATAGAGACAAATAAGCTAATGTGGAGGAGGAAAAATATTTTTCCTTCCTTTTACCTTTTAAGTTCTGGCTGTACTAATAATCAACATGAGACAGATTAACAGGAGAAAAGTACAAAATTCATCGCATAAATACATATGGGGATTCCATACGACTATGAGACCTGAGGACACATTGGACAGTTGAGGCTTCCATGCCATCTTGAACTAAAGAGAAGGGGAGCGGTGGTGGTTGTGGTTTGGGACCTCAAAGGACAGGAAGGCAAGTCATATGGAGGTAGAAGAGCAAATGTTTGATAAAAAATGTGTTCTAGGTTATCTTTAACAATGGGACACAGAGAGTACTTTTATCAAAGGGGCCCTGCAAGGTTCCTCCTTGTAATAAAGGACACATTTGAATTAGAATTCTTAAGAAAAACCATGGCTAATTAAGATTAGCAGTCTTAACTTTGCCCTTAAAATTTAAGCCAATTATTTTTTGGAATCTATTCTACTAATTGTGTCAACAAATTTGGCTTCAATTTTATTCTAATATATATTTTCACTGTTGTAGCATGTCTTTCTTTATTCATGATGAACAACTCTTTCCGACACTGCAATACCTGAGTCATCGCTAAGGCAACCCTCGGGGCTCTATCCTGGAGCCTTCACTTATCGCAAGGTTATAAGGATTTTCTCATTTCCTGATTATGCTCCGTAACATGCCCTCCCAATGTCAGATATTTATTAAATATCTTTAACTGTTTCAATTTCATTGAAAAATGAAATTAATATGAAAATATGTGTCAAAGGGAAATTTAATAAATATCTGGCATAAAATAGTTTCCTCCTAGACCATATTCAAAATTTCCTTAGATCAGTTAAGATGTTTTCAGTTGTGAATAGCAACATCCGACTACAAACAGGGAGTTTATTGTCTTACCTAACAAGAAGTCGAGAGGCAGATGGTCATCCCAGGCTGAACTGTGTCACCAGTGAGCCAGGCCCTTTTTTTCCCTATATGTTGCCATCCTCAGCATATTCTGTTTTGTCTACTGTTTAATGGCTGCAATAGGGCCTCCACAGTTCCCAGAGCTTATGAAATGACAGGAAGGAAGAGGTGGGAAAGAAAGTTCTCCTCAACTATCTTGCTTTCATCAAGATGGAAAAATCTTTCTAGAAGCCTCTAGAGAGAGTGCTGCTGAAAGGTTCATTGACCAAACTTGGGCACATGGCCAGCCCTACTTGGAAGGAAGATGAGAGAGAAAGTATCTGGCAATTTTAGCCTCCGTTATGGGGAGCAGACCCTGCCAGATGGAGAAAGAGGGAGACGAATGGCTTTTGAGTAGGCGACCAAAAGAGTGTGCCAATTCATATTTTGGGAGAATATTCCTAATTTAAAAACCTGTGATATTACCAAAGTTCTAAGAGCATTCCAAGTAGCTGCCTCTTCTCTATATTTCCTGTTTTGACTTGACAATTTTAAATGGGCTCTAAGAAACCCAATTCAGCATGAGAAATATTTTATACTACATAAAACAACCACAAGTAGATTAAGGAAATAAGTAGGCTGTTTGAATAAAAGCCTGCTTGATTTCCATTTACTAAGGGAGATCTTCTGAAAACCTGTGTGTTGCTTTATGTCCACAGATCTTGCAGTGTTCAAAAAGATGTGCCAATGGTGTTCTTGCAGCAACATTAAGGAAAATCATTTAGTACCTTCTACAACTTTACTTTTTAGGTTGCATCCAGTTATTTCAAACCATCACTCTCCAAAGTGTGCTAAAGGCCGTGGCTCAGAACTCTCCCGGGGCAAATCCTTCAGTCTGCATCTCTTCTGTACTTAGCAATTGATGTCCATTTTACTTTTACATTTATTTGCTGATAAGACATACGGTTTTCTTTAACTGTTTCAATTTCATTGAAAAATGAAATTAATATGAAAATATCTGTTAAAGGACATTAGTGTCCAATCACTACATCTTTTCCACCTGTCATTCATATGGACATAACTAGAACATATTAAATAGAATTAAATATACTATATGTACCACATCAGTGTTTCTCAACTGGGATGACCATGCCCCCCAGGGGACATTTGGCAATGTGTAGAGATCCTTTTGATTGTCACAACAGGGGAGAAGGTAGGGTGCCAATGGCATCTAGTAGATAGAAGCCAAGAATGAGGCCAGTCACCCTATAATTGACAAGATAGCTCACCGCAACAAAGAATGATGTGGCCCCACATGTCAACAGTGTCAGGGTTGAGAAACTCTGGACTACACCAAGTACTTTGATGCTTCAAATACAACACAAACTGGTTCTTTGTTCGTTAGAATTCCTACACAGGAAAGAATGAATTATTATCGTTCTAAGTCATCTCAACAGTTTCTCAGGCGAAGTGTTGATTCTTATAAACTGCAAAATATTAGGTCGAAATCTAGCTTGTATGTAGTATTTCTTTTGAATGAGAAATTCCATTTTTTGATGTTACAATATTTTCTTTTCATGCAAAGATAGAACTTAGACGGAGCCTTCCTTCCTGAAACGCCTTCTTAAAAAAATTGTGTTTTTTTCAGTCTGTCCGGAGGGTAAAGGTTTCAGAACAGGCCTCCCTAAGGTGTGCCACTTTGGCATGTGAATTATTTTGAGCTGAAGGCAATAGAGACCCTGTGGGCTCAAGGGAACCTTTTATCTCTCCCTTAAAGAATTTAAATTGCGGGCCTTGCACATAAGAGTTATCACTGTAAACAACGTTTTATGGCCTAATTACTGAACATTTGCTCTTCCTATCTTTCTGCAGTGATTATCTCTTAATCCCCAAGGTGCCTTACCTCATCCTTAGCTCAGAATATTAGATATACCTCATTTTCCCTTTCTGTTTCTGAACCCCGTGTATGTGGGGTTCCCATACATGCATATATAATTAAATTTGGTAATTTTCTCTTGTTAATCTGTCTCATCTCGATTTGATTATTTGACCAGCTGGAAGAACCTAGGAGGGTAGAGGAAAATTTGTTCTACCTGTGGTGAATCTGAACTTTACTAACATCGCAAAGAGTTCTCACCAAGGCATGAACTTAGATGTGTTTGGTATAAATTATATGGCTGTCAGAAAGTCACTTAAAAAACTTTCTCTGTGCCTCAGTATTTCCCTGTCTGTAGAATATACACCAACCTTGCTTGTAGAGATAATTTCAAAATATTTCACTTGGAAAGAAAGTCACCAACCAAATCTAAGATAGAAGTTAACATCATGTTCATGTTAACCTTCCTATTGTTTATAATTTAAATGTTTTTTATTTTTAATTGAGAGTTGGCAAACCTTTCTTGTCTTTGAAAGTCTGACTAGGGGAACACAGAGAAGGAAATTCGTTTTCTTTCTTCTTTCTTTAAGGAAGATTGTTCTATAGTCCATCAGGCTGTTCTAATATCTAGCCTATAATTTTTCATGATAAGATATGACACATTACAATGTAGATTGATATAACTAGTTTGGAAAGGAATTTATCGATATTTATCAACTAACCTCAAAAATGTCCATGGCCTTTGAAACAGTAATTTATTTTCTGGGCATTTATCCTAAAGAAATCATCCTAAATATACATGAGGCTTTATACAAGGAGATGTTCCTAAAAGTGTAGGTAACTGGAAACTATCTAATTGTCCAACAACCAAAATAGTGGAATGGATAGGTTAAATTGACTGACTTGACTCAGCTTTATGTCCACTTAAAGATATTAAAAATTATTTTTATAGGTCATATGTGATAACATGGGAAAATATTGTTAAAAAATAAAACAGAATCTGGAATTTTGTTCACTGTGTGATTATAATAGCATAAGAAAAGAAATCAAGCAAAATCCTATAAACTGGTATAATCAAAGTTGTTTACCCAACAATTCCACTTCTGAGGGATGATCCCAGGGAAATGATTGACTGGAAGGAAAGTAACCACCATGAACAAAGGTAGAAATAACCATAATGGTTTTTAGTAAAAATGTGGAAACAACTCGTGTCCAACAATTCAAATATAAAGGATTAGTAAGATTCATTATGATACAACTATACAACAGAAAAATGAACAGCCAATAAATGATGTAGAAACATGGTCATTAACTTGACAATATATTCACAACATACATATTAAGTGAAAAAAAATGCCAATTAAAAAGAGTACATACATTAAAAAGGTAAGAATGTTTACATGCATACAAGTCTGAAAGGATATTCTCCCCAAAGTTAGCTGGTTATCTTTGGTGGAACAATCGGGTAGATTTTTGTTTTTTTTTTTTTTTCATTTCATACATATGCATTTTTTCATATTCCTATAGTAAGTATGAATACCTGCATTTAAAAAAAGAGAAAAGAAATACATCAAAATGTTAGCAATGCCTGCAGAATAGGACTATAGATCTTATTTACTTTTACATTTTGCTTCCTGTATTTTCCTGTGTGAAAAATAATATAAATAGAGCCACTTCAAAATAGAGTCAGAGCTCTCATCCCAAAGGAACTGCCTTGCACATCTTAGTCCACAAACCTTTGGAATGTTAAAACATTAGGGCAAAATACCTTTGAACTGGGCCTAAAGCAGCATTGTATTCCAAACAACTGTCTTTAAAGATAATAGGAAAGCAGACATTATGACCATGGGACTGAAAATTAAAGAACATTGTTTAGAATTAGCATCACTACATTAGTGAGTGGAAGCAGAGGTTGTCACCTTTTTAAGATATTGATTGTTTTAAGTTGATAGTTTTTAAGAAATGAAAGACTCAGGAAAAAACTTTGACCTTCTCCCTAACTGTGCAAAACAATTTGGATAAAGGACCTGCTCCAGAAAGGGAGCTATCATCCTAGATAATGATAGCTTAGTATAAACTAGTGTATGTTAGACAAGGAGGAACCTTGCAGGGCCCCTTTGATAAAAGTACTCTCTGTGTCCCATTGTTAAAGATAACCTAGAACACATTTTTTATCAAACATTTGCTCTTCTACCTCCATATGACTTGCCTTCCTGTCCTTTGAGGTCCCAAACCACAACCACCACCGCTCCCCTTCTCTTTAGTTCAAGATGGCATGGAAGCCTCAACTGTCCAATGTGTCCTCAGGTCTCATAGTCGTATGGAATCCCCATATGTATTTATGCGATGAATTTTGTACTTTTCTCCTGTTAATCTGTCTCATGTTGATTATTAGTACAGCCAGAACTTAAAAGGTAAAAGGAAGGAAAAATATTTTTCCTCCTCCACATTAGCTTATTTGTCTCTATAGAAATTCCTTCCGTAACTTATTAACACCCATAGGAATTCCTTCCTTCTATTCATGTAATTTCCCCCTTTTATATCTCATAAATATCTTTTGCCTTCACCTCCTAATCAGAACACCATTTGGGTTTCTGCCTGAATCGGTGCTTTCAGAATAGCTGTTCTTTTGGATCTCAGATAAACACTTGTTGCCTCTCACCTTGACTTTTTTATTTTTAGGTTAACACGTAATTGTCTTTACTTCTTTCACTATGAAAGAAACATCCACATACAAAGAGATGAACCATTAGAAGAAAGCACCATGCAGCGTTCCCTTTAGAGAAAATAAATATCTTTGGTAAGTCACTTCCCTTCATTAAAACACCTGTCTCAGGACAGGCTGAGTTCTGTTGTGGTAACAAAAAGCCGAAACAACGCGCTGTATTTCCCACTCATGCTACATGTCCATCACAGGTCATCTCGGAGCTCTGCTCACCATAGACTCAGATACCCAGGCTGATAGATCAGCCACCTCCTCAAACTTTGCCAGCGGCCACACCAGCGGGGGGAAAGGAGCTCTGGAAAGTCACACATCAGCAGCAAAACGCTCCACAATTAGTCACGTGGCATATCCAATCTGGAGGGGACCAGGAAGTAGGTAAAACAGGTTATATTTGGCAAATGGCACCCGACAACACGGCCTCAAAATATAGTAAGCAAATATTGAGAGAACTCTAAGAAGACCTCAAGAAATCTGTAATCCCAGTGGTTATATTTCTGGCACCTGTTACTGGAGTCTGTAGCCAACTTGGTCTTGTTAGATACAAGCATTGTAGAAAGTGCACAGATGTGTTAGGTGGAGAACGGAAATCACAAGAAAATAGGACATGCTCTTTGTGAAATCATAAGGGAACATTGCATTTGTTGATTGTGCATGGCAAAAAGAGGATGGGGGAGCATGCGACACGTACATATGTGGCAACCTTTCAAATTTACTCACATATTAGGTTGGGCTAAAATTGTAGCATTCTTATATCTCTAAGTCTGCTCTGATTTACCTTACAATCTCCCATCCTCTAGGTAGAAGTGGGGGGAGGGCACAAGATCAAATCCAATTTACTAACCTCAGTTTAATTGTATACTTCGAAATGTCTTTGTAGGAAAACAGCCTCTACTTAGATGACTCAGTTAAGTGCTTAACAGATAAGAGTTCCACTCTTCTCTCTGCTCCTCTCCAAGAAGGCATCAGGGTGTTTGAGGGAGGGGTGTGTGATTTCCCGAGTTCATAGGGGCAAAGGGCAGATGTTAATCCCACTGAAGCAAAGCAAGATTTAGAGCTGCACCCTCCTGTTTTCTGCTTTCCCAGCAGCATAGCTGACATACTTCCTGCCTTAGTACTCCAACCTGGGAGGAGGCTATCAGGACAATTGTGTCTTGTGACCTCCCTCCCAGACTCCATTCCCCCTTTCTTTTCCCTATAACTGAACCCAAAAGTGGGGAGTGGAGGAGACTTTTCCCCTCTTCTTTACGGCCTGGGGGGCCTCCCTTCTATTCTGCACACAGGGTCTACGAATTAAAAAGGAAGCTTTGTTATTTAGAAATCCCTTTCTTTAAAAAGCCTGGGTTTTATGCACATCGTCTTACTAAAAAGAGGTCAGGAAAATCAGCTCTGAGTGATGAATAGACCCTCTGCTCTGGGCAGCACCTGTCTGTCCTTTCCTTCTTGGGACAATAAGCTTGATGACTCTGTCAGAAGGCTACCAGGAAATAGGATTTAAAGGGGGAAATCAAAATGCATTGGTTTAAGTCTTCTAAAATGTGTTCACCAGAGAGGTGAAATGGGACGAACTAAAGTGCTGAGATTCAATTTCTTGGGTGTCTTGTGAGATCCATGTCTTGTCTTCATTGAAACAAACTGTACATTTCAAAACACAACCCTAATGAAAATATAGAATGAATACATGTCACAGGTTGTAGGCATTAATTAGGGAACCAGCAGGATGGGAAATCTGGTACAAAGGGGAATTCGAAAGGCAGATTTATATGTTCGAAAAGGAAAAACATGCTGAAATAAGTTTGCTAAATAGAAGCAAAACAGGGCAAAACACACACACACACACACACACACACACACACACACATACACACACACACACACCTTTTGAGGTTATCACTTCCCCTGCACAGAAGTCTTTTGCTTCTTTACTGGACAAAAATCTATAAGTTAATATGTCTGCGCCTTAACCAAGCAACAAGGCATTCCTCTGGAGAGCTGAATAACCCTTGGGTGGGCCTGTGAGTTAAAGGCCTTTACACAAAGCTTTAGTCTGACTCTGAAAAGACAATCAGTCATCCTTTTGCCTTGTTTTCAAATATTAGGTAATTTTTCTTAACGTAGTCAAACAATGCATGCATTCCACCCACCTTAACATACACAGACCCAGGTTGGTGAGAGCTGATGGAGTGAAGAGCCACGAATGGATTTATGAAGAGCCTATGGAAATAAAAGATGGGGGTTTAAAGCAAGGCTAGGTCTCTGCCTTAGAATAAGAATCTTTAAAACCTAAAATTATGCTGTTGTGTCAAACCTACAGGTTTTAGAGGTATTTTTTTACTCACAAATTACCCGTTCCTTAGAATCACAATCTAGATAGATTTAATTAGGCATAAATGATTCCATTACCAAAGCAAATTAATCGGGTTAAATGAAACCGTAAGGGTACGCGATAATTATTTTTGATCGTCATAAGTTACGTAGGTTACCATAGCCCATGAAATATATACTAGCCTATTAGGTTACTGACAAGACAAACATTATTTCATCAATAAGGCACATTCAGACTTGGCTTAACTTTAAGGAATGTGACACAGTTCACATACAAACCACTCTCCAACTGATAGTAGTTTCCAAAAACATCTGAATTTTTAAAATCCCATACTAGTTCATTTGTAATACCCTCTTCCCTGTTCAGATGGTTTTTGAAGTATCCTCTTGGTTAGAGAGAAAGAAAAGAAAACGAATATTATAAAAGAACAAAGCCTGCTCTGATGAGCAGTTTCCCCACGGAATTTCATTTTCTGAGTAGAGAGCAAGATCATCTGATTAAAAAGCTCAAATTTTCTGAACCTTTCTGTTGAAGTCTATGGTGTGTAACATGAGCACATTTCCATATTCAGGTTATGGAAAACAAGAACTCACACAAAACTTTTCCTTTAAAAGTTGAAGAAATCTAAGACGTTGCATGTTGGTGCAGAAATGAGAAATCTAAAGGTGTTTCTCACAGACTGCTTGGCTATATTTTTATTTTTCCTACAAGAAAGCGAAGACAAACATTTGGGAAAGTATTATAACTCAAAAGCATGACCAAACCTAAGAAATTTAAGTGACCGTGTCACAGAAACATGGGAACATAAATTCTGTTGGCTAATCCAAATAGATAATTAATCATGTTCCTGACAGTGTGGAATGCAGATTTGCCTGCTATTTGCAGAGACTTTAGCGGCAGGCTGAGAGCTTTCTCGAATGCTGGAATCTGGAGTGGCTTGAGGAGCTGTAAGTCAGTGATTCTGAGATCTACAGATTTCTTAGACCAATAAATTTCAAAGTGATGTCGAAGACTATCATGGTGTTAACATCTTTATTTTGCCGAATAATGTTGGGGGGAGGGGAATTCACTCTTTATAATTGCCAACATTTCATAAAAGACACAGCTTCATAGATTTTTTTTTTTTGAGATTAATTCATAATTGGATTCATCAGTGAGTTTGGGGTCAAGATACCTCTAGGTGACTTAACGTCTTTATCAAACCTTTCATCGATGACTTACAGGCTCACTGAAGTAAGTACCTGCCATCCATGGATGATCAGAATGAATGCTGCTGAGACAGGTGAGTGGGACAGGATTAGACTTTGGCTCTAGATAGGGGTTTGGTTCTTGAGAGATTTTCATTAGAATCTTCTTGTTTTAAGGAGGATTTTTCTTTTTCAAATGGAGAGGTGATAGGGAATTTAAGCATTAACCAAATTCCTACTGGGACATATGTTCAGCTTTCTTCTGCCTTAACTGTCCTTTAAACAAGAATTAAATCAAATTCTCTGAGTACCCATTACTAAGAAGGCTGGGATAGGCTTTAGGGCAAAATTTCTCAAACTTAAGTCTTCATAATTATATGCTGATAACCTATCAAAAGCGCATATTTCTGGGTTTTTTGCCATCGGTTCTTAATGAAATCTGAGATGGCAGCCCAGAGATAGAATCTCAATTTTTAACAAGAATGTGATTTTGCTGCACATGGTTTATGGACTCCATCTTGAGAAATACTGTTCTAGGAATTATAAAGAAGTAACACTTTCAATTTTAGTAACAGCACACTAGCTAATTCAGATCAACTTTCTGCTAAACATAACGTATTAAACATCTTTTTTAAAGCATCAGAAATCTAACAAAATACTGATGAATTACTGGGATGAGATCCAGCAAAGAATGAAAACCCATAAAGGATGGGCCTGACACTCTGGACCATTTCTGCTTTGGAGTTATTAGCTGATCTTGAAGAGACAATTTAGAGTGTAAACTGTCTTTTTCGGGACCTCATTGGATTAGGGGAACAAGAGTCAGATCAGGACCTGCCAAGGGTAGAGACCTAGTAAACCATTCTGCATCCCCAATGCGCACACCTGTTAGGAGTAAGGGTGAACTGGAAGTGTCTCCTTTAGAAAGTTTCACATCTTGAACTTGGACTAAAGTAACCCTGGAAAAAGCAAAAGAACATCTTTTTTAGAGGAAGAAAACATCAACCTAAACATCAAGTTATTTCTACAAATTATATTTCATATATGGTTTCTAGCACGCAAAGATAACTAAGCCTCACTAAGAAACAGAAAACCATGAGCAAAAATGAGGAAAAAATAAATAACAAAACAGACTGAAAGGGACTCCATCCAGATACTGGATAAATCTCCCATATAGGTAGGTGTGGTCATACAACCAAACTTGGTCCAATGGGATGCGAGCAGAAATGATGTGTATTTATTTTCATAAAAATGAAGCTGCTTGCCCTGAATTTTTTCTCCCACCAGTTGGAAAATGGAAATGATTGGAAAAATTGCTTGGATTCCAACAGAGATGCTGAGGATAGCAGAGCTGCTCACCAGCCAAGGTTCCTATGTGTCCTCTTGGAACAGAGGTGCCCTGCAAGCCGTGGGCTATTATAAGAACGAAATAAACTCCTATCCTATGTAAGCTATTGTACTTTGGGGTTCCTTTGCAACAACTTTGCCTGTACCCTAAATAATGCAGAGAAGTAGAGTAGAGTAACACAAAGTTGGAAAAGTTGGAAAGTTGGGAGTGAGGGGGAAGCAGTTGTTATGAGCCTTAATAGCAGGGTCCAGAGTAAGGATCTGAGGTATTTGGTAAAGTGAAGCACTGCAGAGGGACCAGTCAGGTAGTGGTGCCATTGGTGGTGATGGTGAAGCTGATGAAATGGCTTCAGTTACCTTGTGTGTTGTTAATAATTCTATATCTCCAGGCATACTTTTCTCCAGAATTCCATGCCCATATTTCCAAGAGCTGGTCAGAATTTCTCTCTGGAGGTCAAATAGCCTCCTCAAACTCAACATTTGAAAACTTAGCTTTCTTCCCCAGAGAACCTTTCTTTCTCTTGTATTTCCTATTCTGGTTAATAACTGCACCCTTCCATATCATCTTTCACCCAGTGGTACTCACTGGAAATTGGGGTCCCCCTTGATGCCTCCTGTATCACCACATTGAATTTCTCATAAAGATCGCCTCCTTCTATTCTTTCTTTTTGTTTCTCTATTTCCATTGCCAGTGCTTTGACGTGGGTCTCCATTGTCTCTTATCTCAAATGTGGCCTTATCCTCCTTTCTCACTGATCTTTCTGATTTCAATTCCCCCCCATGCTTCCCATTGCTCGTGGGGCTGTTTTTCCAAAACACAAACTTGACCATGTCACTCCACCTGTTTCTACACTTCCTCCCATTTTCTATAAGCCAAGGAGCCCAGACTCAGTACAGATCTGGTACCCTTTGGCCCCTATCAAGCCCCTCAGTGTGCTGTGAACCCTGAACTCACTGGGCCTTGGCAGCGTCCTCTCTGCATGGAATGTCCTTGTCCTCTCTTCACTTAATGGACCCCCTACTCAGCATTCAAAACCAGCTTAAATATGAGGCATTGGAAAATTTCTCTAGAATCCTCTAGCTTAGTTGATTAGCTATTGATATATCAATATCTGATAAACGAATGAATTAAAGTACTAAGAACTGAATCCCAAAGTTCACATACCCAGAAGAAGTGCAGAAAATTTCAAAAGTATAGAATTTTACAACTGGAAAGGGAACTTACAGATTTTAAAGATCATCTAAGTGTGTTTATAGATGAGATTCAGAGAAATTAAATGACTTTCCCAGAATTAGACAACAGAATTGGGAGTAAGACATGAGTTTTATGGTTCAGTTTCTGTTGTTGTTTTCCTATATTTTGCTATGAACGTATTAGAGAATAATTTCTATTGAAGGGTTTGTTTGAAAGGTTGAGTTTAAAGGTTTGGCCATTTCAGCTTGTAGACTAGGCAGCACTTCAGGGCAAATAGAGAATGATCAAAATGTCAGTGTAACCTTGCCACAGAGATAATTATCTAAGTTATGAGTTGTTTTCCCAGAGGGATGTATAGAGATCCTGTGTACATACCAAGGTAAACATTGGTAATCTGCAAGTATCCAGTCCAAAGACTCAGGGGCCCTTTCAGTTTGGCTTCTCAAATTTTTGAATGCATAAGACATCATATATAGGCAAAGGAAAGCAATTAGATTAAAAATATGGTTATCAAGGTATTAAATATTATAAATGTGTGATATATGTACTTCTTTATTTAACATATTAAATAACAGGATCTAGCAGCCAGCTAATAACTACCATGACTTTTAGGTGGCAATGAGGGTAAATGATATTTCAAAAACCTGCAACAACTGTCATGTGATATGAAAATATTTGTAATTTCTATTAGCGACAGGTCACAGGTCCAGCCAACACGACTGTGGTTTGATACTCATATTCTCAGTTGAAGGAAACACTTCCATTAGAGATCAATGAAAATGAAGAAGAAATGTTTTTCAAGTTCACTGATCTGCTAAACCCTAGGTTGAGCATCCCTGGTTAGTCCAGTCTTTTCATTTTAAAGGTGAGGAATCTTTTATCTTAAATATGAAGGTGGGTTCAATGAAAATTAATTTAAAGAAAACCATTGACAGAGTCTATGAAGTCAGCACACTTCCCTCAAGGAGCTTGGCCTTAAAAACAGACAAAGACTTGAAAAAGGGAGGTTTCTTTTAAACCATTTCTGCTTTCTGCTCAATGTTCCTGGTCCCTAAGGCCTGCTTGATGCAAAGTCCCTCGGGGAGGGGAGATATAAGAACAAAACCCAAATTAACATCACAATACTGCACCATACTGAGAATAAGAAGGATGACACAATTAATTTTTTAATAAGTGCCAACAATAAGAAGTACCTATGCAATATATACAAATATAAAATCATTGTGTTGTACACCTGCAACTAACACAATATTGTATGTCAGTTATATCTCAATTTAAAAAAAGAATAATGTTGACTATTGGTTTGGGTTAAAAATTCACCTGAATTGTATTCTGGTTATTTTTAATGTGACTTTAAAAAAAACAAAAAACAAAAAAAAAACCATACATTTTGAAGGGTGTGGAATAAGAAGGCTCTAAATATTTTTTAAACCAAATAATTGACTAAATGTGGCAAAAAAACTTATTGAATTCATTCTCTATCACTGATTTATGATGTCTCCTTTGTCATATATTAGATTATTAAATTTACTGGTTTCTAGTTCTTGAGCGTGTAATTGTTTTTTAAATTATTTTATGGAATTTTCTGTTTTTGTGTTTTATTTGATAAGGAAAATAGTAAGGAAAAACAAAATAAACTATGATAAAAAATAATCACATTTTGATTCTTTTTAATATTTATACCTTATACCTATTTGTTTCTTGTCCTATTGTAATAGGTAGGGCACCAGAACAATATTCAATATTATTATCCTGTTTTGTTCCAGGCTTAAATGGGAATATTTCTAATGTTTCAAATTAGAATCATATCTGCTATAGGTCTCATATTAATGAAGTTTTCTTCTATTTTGCACTATAAAGGGGTTTTTCTTAGAAGTAGATGTTAAATTTTATCAAATGAATTGTTGGCATTTACTGAAATGATCACATAGCTCTTTAAAAAAAAAATCTATTAAGGTAGTGAATTACATTGAAAGATTCCCTAATATTAAACCATCCTTCGATTTGTTAAATAAACTCACCTTGGTCATATTGGATTTTTAAATGTATATTTTTATGTGTCTTTTAATATGGTGCTGAATATTATTTCCTGATACTTTGTCCAGAACTTTTACATCCTTGAGTATATAATTCTTTAGTTCTTGTGCCTCTCCACTTAAATGCTATACTGAGATTCATTTAGTTACATTTCTGAAATGTGGGGTATTTAAATAATAACAATAACAACAATGACAACAACAACAATAAAATTATATATATAACCCAAAATGCCCTGTTGAAGAACAGAATATCTAGCCTTTAATTGAGTTGATGTTGTCCAGAGGTCTTAGGCAGTTGAATCTTTTCGACCTTTTTGAGCATGACCCATGGTAAGAAATAGATTTCTTCATTGGAACTCATTGCATGTGATTCAAACATAAGTTTTCCCAGACTTCTCTGAAGAAGTGGTAGGAAAAAAAAATAAGTGATGGGGCCCACTGCTATTTATGACAAAGGACTGAGTTACAACCCATAGTTTGATAAACACTGGGCTGGATGAACTCCGAGGATTCTCAGATGCTAAGATTCTATGATATATGTGTGGATCATTTAAATAGGAACTGTTATGTCCCATGATCTTGGTAGAGTGGGCTTATGTAGTAGGTGTCCTGTAAGGCCCAGTGGCATAGTCTCTCTGTTCACCTGAGCTAGGTGCTGCAGATGTGTCCCTTGTGTGTATTGTGTGTGACCTCTTGTAGTTGAGCCTCGGTTGCTGTTTGCATGTCAATAGGAAGGATTGACTCTCAGTTTAATTGGTTATGAAGACTGGCTGTGACTACAGTGGAGGAGCTGTTGTGCAGGGGCTGACCCTATGGAGCAGGATTTGCTTTAGCAGGCCTCTGGGGCTTGCCCAGTCTGCCCTTTGGAATTGTCATTTGTGGAAGTGGTTGGGCGGTGCTCTGGTGTGGTCTGAAGCTGGGCACCAGTGTGCTGGTTCTGGGGCCTCTTGTGCAGGTCAAGGTCAGCTGCTGCTTCTGCCCTGCCCAGGGCTACTTGGTATGAGCTACAAAGTGATCTGCAGATGGTTTCCACTTTTGCTGGCCCTGGAGGTACCTGAGAGAGGCCAAGTCTCAAACCGAAGTTGGCTTCTACTAGTGCCAGTCTTGGAGCTGCTTAGCAAGAGGTATGGGGCATGCCAAGGCCGAAAGCAGCTTGCTTGGGGTTTGTGAACCTTTAAGAGATTTTAAGAAAGTCCATAGCATGAACCAAGACAGGCAGTTTGTATAAAAAAGCCACTAGAAGCAGTTTGGGTAGGCCCACAAGTTGAGTGGAGCAGGGTCTCAGGGAATCACCAGGACAGGTGATAGCCAGGTTGATAGAAATGCAGATATAGTGGCTGCCTGCATCTGCAGGCTGAGTGCAGGGAGGGCTCAACAAAGGAATAGTGACTTCTGCCAGTACTTCTGTCCGGGAAAATGCTGTCCCTTCAGCCCTTGAAGCCAGACAATTCAGTTCCTCCCTGGCACCTTTCCAGCTACTGCCCCAGTGCTGGAGCTCAGGGTGAGTGAGTCCCTTTGTGAGTAAGGCCAGGCGCGGGCCCCTTACAAGGAATGCCTGCAACTCCTGCCACCCTCCATACCACTCAGTCACAATCTTTGCTGGTTTTCACAGCCTGAAGTTGTGGGGACTTCCAGGCAC